AACACAGTTATTTTCTCTCTCAAGCTATCTCTCTCTTCCATCATTTTCATGTCGCCTTCTTCTCTGAAAAGACAAAACCGTGGATCTATGAATCTCTTCTTCCCCTTCTAATCTCTCTCTCTCTCTCTTCGACTCTTTCCACTCCTTTTCTCTTCTTCTCTCCCACCCTCCTTCCCCATCTCCCAATTTCTTCTGATTTTCAACAGATTAGGGTTTTAATTTCTGGTTTTTCTCTTCTTCCACTCGGATCTACCCTCCCCCATCTTGTTTATACGCACATTTCCGCCTCCCCTGCAAATCCCATCTCTGTTTTCTGCCATCCCTTTTGATTTCCGCCTTACCCATCTTCTCTGTTCCTCAATTTCCGCCATTCTTTCTCTCTCTCTCTCTCTCTCTCTGTTTCCCTTTAATAATGTCGTCCTTGCGCCTAGATCTGACATCTAAGATCTACCCCGAACCTTATTCTCCGTTCTCCGTTAATTCCGCCTCCATTTCCACTTCTTCCTGTATCGACCACTTCGATCGTCTTCCTGATTCCCTTCTTCTTCTTATTTTCAACAAGATCGGTGACGTGAAGGCTCTTGGTCGATGCTGCGTTGTTTCTCGAAGGTTCCACTGCCTTGTGCCGCAGGTGGAGAACGTTGTTGTTCGTGTGGATTGTGTTATTTCTGATGACGAATCGTCTTCTTCCTCTTCCTCTTCTGGTAAATCTCGTGGCCCCTTTTTTAATATTTTCCGCTTCGTATTTGGTGGCATTGTCAAACCCCTCCAAGCGTTGAGCCAGTTTTTGGGTCAGACACGAGCGTCCTCGAGTTTGGTTTCCTCTTCCTCTACCACCTCTCTTGCGGTTGGGACCGAAGAGGATGGTGAAATTGATCAAGGTGGAGTGACCCATCACTCTCCGACCCAAGTTCTCAAGAATTTCAATGAGATTCGACTCCTTCGGATCGAGCTTCCGAGTGGGGAATTGGGTATTGATGATGGGGTATTGTTGAGATGGCGAGCCGATTTCGGATCCACTTTGGATAATTGTGTGATTTTGGGGGCTTCTTCGGTGATTCACCCCGGCTCTTTCAAGCCTTCAATTTTTCAAGATAATGGGACTGATGGGGGCTTCTGTATTGGCAATGGCGGCGTTAGCGATGATAATGGGAGTATACCCGAATCCTTTTACACAAATGGAGGTCTAAAATTGAGAGTAGTATGGACGATTAGTTCGCTTATTGCGGCTTCAGCCAGGCACTATCTGCTGCAACCAATAATAGCAGATCACAAGACCTTGGATAGTTTGGTTCTAACTGATGCGGATGGACAAGGGGTGCTATGCATGAACAAAGATCAACTTGAGGAGTTGAGGGTGAAGCCCTTGTCTGCTTCTTCGGCATCTAAGAGAACCCTTGTACCAGCTCTGAATATGAGGCTTTGGTATGCCACACACTTAGAATTGCCCAATGGGTTGATATTGAAAGGCGCTACACTGGTTGCTATTCGGCCTAGTGAACAGTCTGCGGTGAAGAAGGATGTTCCTGATTGCTCCTGGGCTTCAACAGCTTTTGAAGAACCATATAGGACAGCTGCAAAGATGTTAGTTAAGAGGCGAACGTACTGCCTTGAGATGAACTCTTTCTAAAAGCACATTAGTAATTCGAGGTAAATCTCTAATGCATACAAGCATCGTCCTAGTTTTTTATTCTTACAAGGAGTGTTCATATGTTGGATTCTTCGATATATTATGTCCATGTACAACCGAATTTACTCGTCACCCATGGCTTCGACCCCATGGTTTATAGAATGCTCATTTGGATTCTTTTTTGGGTGGACTGAACCTTGTGCATATTGTTTTTCGATTCGTAATGGGAAATAATACATTGGTCAATTATTGTGAATGGTTGGGTCTTTCTAAGTGAATTTGATCATAACTAGCTCCACTTCATACTGTTTTTCGAAAGCAGCTCCTTATATATGTGTATTAAGTAACATCGAACGAGTTTAGTTATCTGATATCATGGTGAGTTTGGCAACGTTTTACTTCTCGGCCTCGTTTAGTTGTTTAGGCTACTTCAAAGTCCTTAACTTTTCTTATTCTGTAACTATATAGAGTTTGGGTTTTCAGGTATAGAAGAACAATGGTGCAAAGGGCGGGAGAAAATTGCATACCTTTAGAAAATGAGAATGAGGAAGAACAATTCTTATTGATTGATGTGCGGCCCCGGATAACTGGAAGGCAATGAAACGAACTTCTGACTGGAGTGGCACGAAAAGGGGGAAAGAAAGAGAACTCATTCGTCGTAGGCATTATCATAATACAAACGGTTGACCGTTTTTGGTAAAGGTAATAGTGAAATATGCATCTGCTGGTTGTTTTTGTTACAGGCATTTGCTATTTGGAGTGCAGGCAAACAGCCAGCTAGAATGATGTTGTAAAAGCTTTGAGTTTGTAGTCCCTTAACTTCTGTCCATCCTGTATATGTGAATACTGTAGGTAAGACTCTTCATTATGATTTCATGTGATATAGTTTGAAGTTTATAAATGTAAGCCTTTGTTAAATAATCTCTTCATGCTGGCCTGGAACTTGTTTACTTGTATGATTAGTGTCTGAATGATGAGTGTAATGTAATGGCCTAAGCCCACCACTAGCAGATATTGTCCTCTTTGGGCTTTCCCTCAAGGTTTTTAAAACGCGTATGCTAGTTTGAGGTTTCCACACCCTTATAAAAAATGTTTCGTTCTCCTCCCCAACGGATATGGGATTTGGGATTTTGGGGAAGGGATAGGAAAGAAAAACAAACCGAATGGTGAAAAGGCTCTATTATTAGGCAACAGGCTTTGTACATTGCTATTTCTCATTATTGTGCAATGATGCAACTGAGCATATCATTAGATGTAGAATGTGAGTGGGGCATGGAATATTGGCATAATATGAGAAAGCTGAGTTGTAAGTGCCAAATTCATTGACCATGTTTTGAAATTGAATGGTGACACTCAAAAACTGGCCTTGGCGTGTCTGTGATGGACCTTATCTTGTTCCTAATATGTCGTCTGTGCTTTCAGCCATTCGAACAGCTTTTTAGTGTTTTTTGTTTGGTAGGTCAGGTGTGTTCATGGCTTATCCACTGCTTCAGCTTGAGAAAGTTGTTCACTTTTCTTGTTAATTGATCAATGATAAGTGTAGAAAATGAGTTGGAATATTTTGACCAGAGAAAATTCCATGAGCTCTAGACTCTAGGGTGACCATTAGGTGCATTGCAGGTTGATTGATTCACGATACCACGTGCCCCATGCTACTCGGCTTAAAACGTTGCAAATAGGGTTGCTTTTTCAACTATTGGACTAGTGCAGCACTTCCTTACTTTGGCTGGTTGGTCCTATTTTGCACATGTTATGATGATTCATGGATCTCTCTTGGTTCGAGAAATCAAAATAAGAGCATCAAATCATTTCTTTTGCCCTTTTTTTCAAATTTGATAAATGTTGGTTGATCGTATATTTCATTATAGTTCTATGATTTAGAGTATCATTTCCTATTTGAGGCCGAAAAGTTTATTGGCAACGGGTCGGCACGAAGATCTTGAAGTTTGGCAGATCTTCAAAATGGGAGTCCATTTCCACTCACTCATCTTATGGGAGTCCATTTCCACTCACTCATCTTTCTTTTTTTCCTCTTATGTAAAGATGTTTTAGCTCTAACTTGAAAGCTTGACCAATTTGAGATCTTCGACCCTTTATGAACAACTGGTAATTTGTTGTTTCTCTTAGATTGGATGATGATTGTATGTCAATTATTTCTTGAATAAAAAACAGGACTCTTAATATCATTAGATGGATGATCATAGTATATACATAAACATGTGTGACCATGAAAGGAATAATATTATATGCACGTGTCATATTTGCTTCCCTGTCATAGATGAGTATCATCCATCTAATTACAGCTTAAATAAATAATGCAGACTTAGCTGCTGCTTGAGTCTTCCAACTTCTCTATTACTCAAATAAACAAAAATTAATGAATGAATTAGCTGTTTCTCACATGAAACATCTTCTTTTCTCAGCTTTGTAGAGTTGAGAATGCACGTGAAGTGAAGTCTTTGTTGAACTCGAACACACGCCCTCCTCTTCTTCCACTCTCTATCCCTTTACTTTTTTATGCCATTTTTACTTCCCTGTTAAATCACGCTCTATTGATGTAATGTATTTTTCCTTTTGAACTTCTCTTCAAGGTTTTTAAAACATGACTATTAGAGAGAAACTCCCACACTCTAGAAAAAAAAGTTTTAGGGAGAGGTTGACACCCTTATAAGAAATGCTTCGTTTTTTCTCTCAACCGACATGGGATCTCACAATCCACCCTCCTTGAGAACCAACGTCCTCACTGACACATTGCTCGGTGTCTGGCTCTAATACCATTTGTAATAGCTCAAGCCTACCCCTAGCTGATATTGTTCTCTTTGGACTTCCCTTCCAAATTTTCAGTTTTGAAATGTGTCTATTAGAAAGAGACTGTTACGGAATACTCCTAAAATGTGTCTACTAGAAATAAATTATTATATCTTTATAAGGAATAATTCATTCTTATTTTTTACGGATTTGAAATCTCATACTTTGATCAAAATAATTTGAAGCACCCTATTTAATAGCATGAACCGGGTACGTCAATAAAAAAAAAAAAAAACAAAGATGCAATTTATATATTTAAAAAATCACAACGGTAAACACCGAAACGGCCATTTAAAGAAGAGGGAAACAAAATGGATTTTATTTTATTTTATTAAATATGATGATTGGATGATGTGTTCTTGAAATACCTGTTGGATGATGGGTTCAGAAGCTGCTTCAATCAGCCACTCGACGGCTTTGCTGGGCGATCTTGAAGATCGTAGAACTGAATCGCAGTGGCGGCGGGGCGGCGGAGCGGCGGACCCGTCTATCCACGGAGGCGATTGGCACCAAGGCCACCGGCTATGCCTGATTCCACTCCTCCGGCAAGATAGACGGTGGCAGAAGCAATCACAGCGACCCTTTTGGAGAATTCTTTATGTGAATTAACACATTACCCACGATTGACACCATTAACAAACACGAAAACTATAGAATCGAACCACTCTTGTATGAACACATGTTATATAACACTACTTATGGTACTGTTTTTTTCAGGCGCTTAGCTTTTGGGCAACAGATCTGCCCTGTTCTCCCAGAACTTGAAATGCAAAGCCCTGTTCTCAAGCATCTGCTCGATCTCCTCAATGGGAAGGCCCTTAGTTTCAGGCACAAATATGAGGACAAACATAAGTGCTACTACTGAAATCAATCCAAATATCAGGAACGTCCAGGAAGGCCCTATTGCTTGGGTTAATGATAGGAAGGACTGAGCAACAATAAGGTTTGATACCCAATTGGCTGTGGCTGCTATTCCTCCACACACTCCACGATACCTTAAAGGATATATCTCAGAGTTCACTATCCATGGCACAGTTCCCATTCCTGGAGAGAAGAAAATGATGTAGAGAGCAAGGCCAATGAGTGCAAGCCACCCAAATCTGCTGGGACATCCCCTGGTGTACCATAGCCTGTTTCCACTATGGCATAGTTGCTTCACGGTCTCATTAGCTACCAGACATTCTCCAGGAAACAGCTGCAAACAACCATGTTGAAACACATCAACAAAAAAGAATGAACACGATACTTAACGGGCCTAGCATTTTCCTTACGACATAGTAGCGCTTTCTATATGTCCCTATTCTTACCGACGAACTCAAGTTCTTTTAGAGGAATGTTCTCAAGAAGTCACTCAAATAGGATTGTTCCAAGATTCATACTTAACCGCTCTTGCATTTCGTACTACCTAGTTATGCTACATACTTGTCTTGAACTGTTTTTGAGGGCGAAAGACAATTCTCGACAAACTCAAGTCCTTTCGTAGGAAAGTTCTCAAGAAACCACTCAAATAGGATTATTTCAAGATTCCATACTTAACCACCCTAGCATTTTCTTGCATTCCCTACGACCCTAGTCACGCTATCTACTTGTCTTGAACTGTTTTTAAAAGTGAAGACTATTCCTATCCAAACTTTGAACGGTTTCTAACGGTTTCTAAAAGTGAAGATTATACCTATCCAAACTCTGAACTGTTCCTGAGAGTGAACATTATTTCTATTCGAACTCTAATCCTTTCATCGAGAAGTTGTCAAGAAATCACTCAAATTGCATATTCTTAAAACCTCTCTCATTTTGACGTGATTTTAGCTACGAAAACCATTCTAAACAGGTTAATAATTAGATTGGTATCGTTCTTTTTTTTACCTTATTAGATTCTGAAGCACAGAAACCACAATCAGGAGATGAGGCTTTCAAACACTTCATACAGTCCCAAGAAGCAGCATTGCTAGCAAAACTGTAGTCAGGGCATGTGTAAGCTTTGAGTGGACTGGCTCCAGAGCTCACTAACGGAGAGTGAGATGTTGTTTCATGAAACACTGCTGATAGCACACCAAGAGAAACTATGACACCAAATAAGCTGAACACTAGAAGCTTCTTCCTCCCTGTTCTATCAATGAAATATATGCTCACAATGGAGCCCAATGCATTGAGCCCAGCTGTGACCAGTGATAGCAGCAGTGCTGTCTCATTAGAAGCAAAGCCAGCCAGCTGAACTATAGATGGGCTGTAGTACATCACTGTGTTTATGCCCACAAATTGCTGGAAAATCTGGAGCCCAACCCCTGCATAAAGCCCCCTTCTCACTGTTTTGGTTCTCAATATCTTCATCAAGCTAACCCTCTCACAAGACTCCTTTTCCTTGATCTCTGCTTCAACCGATTCCTTAAGATCCTGAATCTCCGCCTCTACCTCGTTTTCCGAATATATTTTTCTTAGTATCCTTTCCGCCTCTTCTAATCTTCCCTGTTCAACTTGAAACAGGTTAGTTCGTGTCTATTATGTCCTTGAACTTTCGAAAGCGATAAGATTAGATTACCTTGCGGTATAGCCATCTAGGTGACTCGGGAAGCAAGAACATTAAGATAAACTGCAAGAGAGCTGGAATGCCTGCAACCCCAAGCATCCATCGCCATGTGCCTGGTGCCTTTGTAAAAGCGAGGTTGATTAGATAGGAGAGAAACTGGCCACCAGTGATGAGAAAACCGTTGGTGCTGACAAGGGCACCACGGATTCTTGAAGGGGAAGCCTCAGAGATGTAGAGAGGGGAGGTCATGGAAGCCATTCCCACACCAAGTCCGACGAAAACTCGACCGACAATGAGAAGGGAAGGGTTGGGTGAAGCTGCCATTACCACAGCTCCAATGAAGAAGAGCAAATCTGCTATGAGAATTACAGTTCTTCTCCCATATCTGTCGTTCATCCATCCTCCCATTGCTGCTCCTATTATGGCACCTCCTATTGCCATGCTCACTATGGTTTCCTGTTTGATTTTAATACCATCATCAATAGGAGCTTCACTTGCATTGCTAGAAACCCTTAATTATCATACACTTTTTCTAGAAAGCTTAAGAAAAATTAAACATCTAATTAACTTTTGTTTATCAAGGTAAGTATTGACTAATCTAGAAACAATACAGAAATCTAGTGGATAAGAGGAAGGTTGAAAGATGAAGACAATCAGCTATTGACACTTGTTCCCAAAACTAATCACAAAATGACTCGGAAGACTTTTGTAACGGCTCTCCGCTTTCCCTCAAGGTTTTTAAAACGTTCTTATGAAGGGTGTTTCGTTCTCCTCCTCAAACGACATAGAATCTCACAATTCACCCCCTTCACGGCCCAGCGTCGTCGCTGGAACTTATTCCTTTCTCCAATTGATGTGGGACACCCTACTAAATCCACTCTCCTTCAGGGTCCAATGTCCTCACTGACCCTCGTTCCTTTCTCCCATCGATGTGGGACCCCTACTAAATCCACCTCCTTCGGGGCCCCTACTAAATCCACACTTCTTCAGGGCCCAGCATCCTCGCTGACCCTCATTCCTTTCTCCAATCGATGTGGGACCCTTACTAAATCCACACCCTTTGGGGGCCAGCATCTTTACTAGCATACCGCCTCGTGTCTATCCACCTCCTTCGAGGCCCAGCGTCTGGGACCTCTACTAAATCCACCCCCTTCGGGGCTCATAGTCTTTACTGGCATACCGCCTCGTGTCTACCCACACCCCTTCGGGGAACAACCTCCTCGCTGGCACATCACTCAATATCTTACTCCGATATCATTTATAATTGCCTAGGCCCACCACTAGCCGATATTGTCCTCTTTTGAGTTTTCCTTTCGAGCTTCCCCTCAAGATTTTTAAAACGCGTTTGCTAGAGAGAGGATTCCACGCCCTTATAGAGGGTGTTTCGTTTCCTCCCAACGAAGGGAGACAAGCTTGTAATTATAGAAAAGTAAACAAAAAGGATCAAAATTCTTAATACCCCATGGGATGAACCTTAAATTCTTTGCTAAACAAGCTTATAAATCAAATAATCACCTGTAAAACAGTGCTTTTATCCACAGCCTTGAAGTTATCCCTGATGTAAAGAAGAGCTCCAGAAATGACTCCTGCAAAACCACACAAAACCCATAAAAAAACACCGTTTGATTTTCAATCTAAGCAAAAATGGAGAAGAAAAGTGTTTGGGATTATAATTACCAGTGTCATAGCCAAAAAGAAGGCCACCAATTCCAGCAGAGAAAGCAAGACGAAGAACATAAGGATTCTTCCAAGCCAGAGAGAAGCATTGTTTGAAAGCTGAACCATCAGTGCTTCCATGGAATCCTCCCTCCATTGCCCCTTCTAAAAACCCACACACAAACAGGGACCAAAAAGAAATAACGAAACTCTTTATGGGATTTCCAGCAAAAGCTAAGAACTTTAACCCATAAAAGAAAATTCTGGAAATGGGTCTTTTTTTTCTGTCCTTTTTGGTTTCTGGGTAGAAGAAAATGGAAGAGAAAGAAGTGAATAAATAAGAGGAGCAGAAAGAAATGGGAGGGATGGGACGTTGACTAAAGTCAACGCATGAGAAATTTCAGTCCATGATATGTTTAAAATAAAGTTCAAGATTTTTCTAAAATATTCTTTTTTTTTTCTTTTTTTGTAATCAAAATACAAATACAGCGGCCTTGTAACGGTCGATAAATAATATTATGGGATTAAAAAAAAATCATGGGTATATTATATTTTTTTTTACTAATTTATCACATAAAAATTAATTTTGTGGCCAATAATAGAGCACAATGATGATTTTTAATTAAAAAAAACTTTATACTAAAAAAAATATCTTATTAGCTTTATTTTTCAAACTTAGGGATGACGTCAGAATGACACAAAAATTAATTTAAATTTTTTGTTTTCTTGATTAATCCCATTAATCATAATTTTATTGATATGACAATTTAAATAATATTTTGTTTAAGTTTAGTAAAAAAAATGCAGCATTTGTATTAGATTTTTAAAAAAAGAAAAGTGAAAAGAAGTATATATTAATTTTTAATTAAAAAAATTAATACTTTTTGTAGTTTTATTTGAATTTGTCAAAATATATATATATATTATATATAATTTTTAGAACTAAAAAAAGAAGAGTTTTGGTATATCAATTTTTAGTGTTTAAATTTAGTTATTATATTTTTAAATTAAATGATAATACTAAACCATACAAAAAAAATCTAACAAAGACTTTATTTTTAATATTATTTACTACTAATAGAAATATTTAAAATACGATCGAATATTTTTATTCTTAAAATAAGAAGAAAAAAACAAAATATAATGGAATATATTCCGTCGAATTATAAAAGAAGAGTAAAAAAATACTGATAATGTAATTACGAGTTAAAAGTATCGATGAATAATGACCTAATTCTTAGGGGGAGAGAAAAAGACGTAATATGATGACTCGTTAGATTTAGTAAGTGTGATGTGTGGTTCTTGGAAGTTGCTTTAAAAAAGTTGATGCAAAACTCCAATTTGATGTAAATGTTTTCTCCAAAAGCAATGTTTCCTTTCATATAAAGTGCTTAAATCAAGATAAATGCAAAACCCTTTTTCCCATAAGTGCAAATAATATTCTCGAAAGAACAAAGATATTTTTAGTTTGCGTTATTCACTAGGTAGTTCGTGGTTTGCAAGTCCAACAATACCAATAACGACCCATTTCTACGTCTAACAACACCATAATGATCATGTCCACGTCCAAAATTTGAAATTTGTTAGCAAATATTGTTTTCTTTGAGTTTTTCCTTCAAAAGATTCTCCCTCAAAGTTTTAAAACGTGTCTATTAGGGAGAGGTCTCCAACTGATGTGAGATCTCACACAAGTATTTTTAGGATGCCTTGTTCTTACCGCCCAACGACGTTTAAATTTGGAGTTTGTATGATTGAGCTACAAAGGGAGAAACTTTCAATTCTTATAAGAAAAGTAAGACTTTCTTAGTAATCCTATTCTCATAATTGCTTTCATTCAAATGTGGTCTCAATTTGTTCATATATCCCTCATTTATTTGGGTGTCATATATGACGGACATCTTTAATCTAATCCCGACGATTAAAATTTAAAAGTAGATAATATAAAATGGTTGGAATCCACCAATAGAAAGAGGGTTGGAACTAAAGATGGGTCATCTTTCCTTGACAACATGAATATGACTTAAAAGAGGTATGGGAAAATGGGGGAAAAAGCTTAATTACTTAAAGTGGGATTGATGTTCTTCATTCAAAAGAAAATGATGATTGATGAACACTTTCATCTTTTGTATATATATGGCAAACCCAACCAACTAATATTCTTTTATATATATATATATGGAAGATAAAAGATATCGCCTCTTTTTATTTAAAAATTATTTTTTAAATATAGTAATTCTTTACTGTAGTGATTGGATTGGAGAGTCGTTTAAGTAACATTATTGGTTGAAGGAATGAAGTTGGGTTAAGATATATACAACAGTTCGAATCAACACTCGTGTATACTGTTGAACTCAAAAAGCTTGGAGTATTCCTATGACTGAGAATTCGAACAATCCAAACTACCCAATCTTCAACTCACGAGCCCATTAGTAGGTTGACATTTTTTTTGTTATATCGTCCCTACATTAAAGAACAATGAACTTAAAGTTTATAATTACAGTTAAAAATAATTTTATTATCTAAAATAAATCTTAACCATCCTAAATAACCCATTGAGCAAAGGATTGACTATACTAACCTTTACCAACCCCAATTTGATCAAAGCATTTGAGAACAGTCTAGAAATGTGAAGGCGAGTCAATCAAATGTATTCTCAGATACTAACCCTTTCCAGTAACTCGAGTTCATAAATTGCTATTTGAGCAGTATTTTTTTCGGTTTGACCAAGTCAATTGCTATTTATAAAATTTTAAATTTTAAATTTATCCAATTATTAATTTAAAGTTTTAATTATTAGGTGATGAATTGAGTAGCATTTCTGTCGAGAATTTACAAAATAAAAATCCCCCTTTTACCCTTTTACAGATCAAGTGACCAACGGAAAACGTACCGAACCAACTCGAACCACCTGGTCGACTGGTTCGGATTGGTTCACACTTATACAGACAACCAAATCGGTCGGTTCGATTAAACCGAACTGATTTACACCCCTAGGAGGTCCGATTTTGTTAGAGGAAAAAAAGTATAATTGTTTTCCCTCTCTCTGTCGCTACTGGATCGTCTACTCCGTTGAACGGACGTCGATCGGACCAGGACATCGTGCTTCTCAAGATCCATACCTCAGCCGTCGCCATTGCCATGGTAGTTTCCTTTTCTCTTCGTTTTACTCATGTCTTGATTGAACTCTTCTACATTTTCACGATACAGCTACCTCGATTGTTGAAAACGCTGTTCTAATCTGCATTTTAATCATTGATCTTGATGACAGAATTGGACCTAGTTAACGGGTGTATGGGGGTCGGTGTTGATTTTGATCATTTTTCGACAACCAACTTGTTTTTACTTCCGTTTGGATATATGTGTACTTGTTCTTTCAGGATTTTTCTTGTTAATTACTGCAATTATAGGTCTGTCAAATTCAAGTTGCGTGTACTGCATTGCACACTTTCTCCAGTTCCACGGGCACTACTCAGCTGGGTCTCCTTTTCAATGGTTGGTTTTTCTGTTTGAGCGGAGAAAATTGGGCCTAGTTGTGTGTTTCTGATCTTAATCATGATATAATGTTTAATTTATCACATTTTTGGGTTTTTATTGGCTGATAGTCATGGTGTGAATCAATTCTGTTGCACGAAGTTTAGTTCTCTCATTCAAATTTGGCAAAAAGAATTGTCGAATTTGTCGAGTCAGGCTCTTCAATGGCAGTTTGGTCCGTAACAAACTACCAATCAATGGATTTATTCCCTTATGGTAGAAAATGACAAAAGAATATATCGACTGGTTGATGGTATTGGCTGAACTAGGATAAAAGGTTCAAGTGCTATGTCACATCATTTTCACCCTTGAACGTTACACTCGTCTTTGAGTTTATTCGCCAATTCGTATTCATATGGTTCGTGATACTTTGCTAAGTCTTGAGACTTTAGAAGTATGTAAGTTATATGGTATTTGAATCCATAGTTTGTTTGAAGTTCCTATTGGACAAGGCATACCGTGATGTAGAAGGATTGTTAGATTATTTGTATACATTATTTAACATTAGCGTATTTGTTAGATTAATTAGTTAATTATCTTATTTTCTTGTAAGAATATAAGTAGCCACTTTCAGATTGTAATAGGAAGCTTTTGAATCATTTTGAAATACAACTTTGTTCTCAGAGAGTATTCTCTCAACTTTTGGGATGGACTTCTCCTGTTTGGCAATGGATTTAGCCTATGCTTCATCATACCGTCCTATGGTTCTCCTGTGTTCATTTGCAGCTTCTGCATATTTTGGATTAGTCTTAGGGATTTTTTTCTTCCAACACTTCCTTGTGCAACCTAGTAATTTTCTCTGCCAATGGTCCAATAGAAAGAATTTAGGATCTCTCTCACTCAAGGCTTTATATATACTCAACTATCCTGTTGTTAAATTTGAATATGTATTGAGCTAAGGATAAGTCCTGATGTTGAGGTGTTTATATTTTAAGCACTGTAATAGGTTCCCCAATGTTTTCTTTCTAACTTTGTTTGATTGAAATTTTAGCTTTCATTGAATCGAAAAGCCAGATCGACCCTTATGGTTTGATTAATGATCACTGAACGTACAAATTCTTTCTTCAAAGAGAAGTGATTCCACTATTTATATGAGCTCACCCAGGCATATACACTCATGAGTTTCCACCAAAGAGAGGATTCACTATTGGAATTGTGTACAGTTGCTAAAAATTCACTGCAGTCGGAAATGTTGTTGCTAAAATCTTGCAGATTCTACTTGGAAGTCATGTGTACATACCAGGATCATGGTGCTTCCATTTCACTTCGGTGTAAGATTAGCAGAAGATTTCAAATCTATTGAAGATGTACGCTTGTAGAGTCTGAAAATAACTAAGGTTTGATAGGATTGACTGAATGTCGCAAAAAATGACAAGAAACATCAAACAACCGAGAAATTAAGTAAATTGAAAAGTGGCAAGAACACAATTGCAATATCAAGTATAGTTGTTGTCTCACTGGTATTTGAACAATACTTGAATTGGCTTGATTTATGGAATTTATTTGTCCGAACAGTGAGATGTGCATAATTGGCATTATTTGTTTTACTGATATTGGGACAATAATCAAAATCATATGTTTATGGACTCTATCTATCCAAATTCTGAAATGTATGCATAATTAACATCATATGTTTCATTCAAGAACAAGATACTTTAGTTTGATTTTGACGTTGTCAAGTTCCTATTCTTTTGATTTAGGTTCTACTGCAGCTAGACCCTTTTCTCAATGAACTTACTAGCATGTTTGAGCGCAGTACCGAGAAGGGTTCAGTCTGGGTTACTCTAAAACGATGTATGTCCATATCAGCGCTGTTGATTTGTTTCATGTACCTTTGTGGTAATATCTAGGAGTCTGATTAGGTTTAAAGTATCTTGTATCTCATATTGTTGTAGCATCACTGAAGTCCAAAGTGCAGAGAAATAAAATGACCACTGCTGGTCAACCCATCGAATACCGATGCCTCATTCGTGCAACTGACGGGAAGAAGACAATTTCAACTTCTGTAAGTATTGACTCATCTCCTACAGTCTTCCCCCCTCTCCTCTTCTCTATCTCTCTTCTGAATTGTAAATTTGGCTTCAGCATTCAAGTTTTTCTAGTAATATAAGGATTCCACCCCTTCATTCCTCCCTCTCGTTTCTTAATGTATTAGTTTTTTCTTCCACTTGAGTTTTGAATCATCTTTTATTCGTTTCATTCTTTTTGGCAAACAGAAACCAAACCCTTTATTAGAACTTCAATAACATGTAACCATTTCACATTTTCAGATCTTATTATCTCTATTATTGTCTAATTTGTATTCTACCACGTACTTATTTCAGAGGTTTCTAGCTTTCTTGAATTCGAAGCATTTGTAACATTTTCCTATGAACTGGCTAGGTTGGAGCAAAAGATCACCTGAGATTTCAAGCTTCCTACTCAACCATTCTTAAAGCCCACATGACTGCTCTCAAAAAGAGAGAGAGAAAGGACAAGAAGAAGGCAGCAGAGGCAGAGAAGGGTCTGAAGAAAAAACCCAGGAAAGTGTAAAGGGAGGCTCTCTTGCTTCTGTAGGTCCTCAAGGTAGTGTAACTATTTCTTCGCTACCCTTCTTTTCACGATGATCCTTTGACCTGATGATGAGTGTAATGCTTTCCCATAATTTCTAGGAAAATGAAGAGGAAAGAATACTTGATCTTGTCCTTTGCTTGGCCATTTTTTAACTTAAACAAGATTTAAAATATACATGTGATTTTATTGTAGAATTGTCTGGAAGTAACTACTTTTGGTTCATTTAAGCAGAATACAGACTTCCCAACTCAGTTGTGTCATGGTTTTTGGAACTGTTAGGAGTTTCATAATTCTTGTTATAATTTATTTGAACTATATCTTTTCAGATGAATTTTGTTGAGGATTATTGAGAGGAGATGTCTTACATTGGCTAATTAAGTGGCTAATTAAGAGAAAGATCGTGAGTAAGTAAAGAACACGGGTTCCATTGGTATGTACTCTTTTGGTGAAATCAACAGCAAAGCCACGAGAACATTTATTCAAAGTGGACAATATCATACCATTGTAGAGGGTCATGGTTTCGAACATACTCATCATCATATAGCTTCTTTAGAGTGAGTTTTTAGTAAAACCTTCCCCATTGATACATTAATCGCTTCAAACCAGCGCTCTTGCCTCCAACTAGATACTTCATGTTACCATGAATAAACAGGAAAAGATAAGCCAAGCTTTGTTGTAACTTCTTGTTACCATATGAATAATTAGTCTAGAGGTACCACACTTGCAGTGTCTCTTCCATAATTCCTGCAAGGCTGCTATCATCCTCACATCCACTAGAGCTATCCCCGGCACCACCACTGCCACCGCCCCCACCACTGCTTGGAGGTCTTTTGTCACCATCTCCACCATCATAGAACTCTTTGTTTTCATTTTGTCCTTTACTGATCGAAGAATAGAACAGAATAGACAACCAATGATCACAAACTAAGAGATGTTTTCACCCCATCACCACTCCTTTCCCTTGCAATACGGATCATGTTTTAATCCAATCCTCCCATGTTTATACTTCAAAACTGGTAGACCATGTTTGAAATAAGATGCATTTGCAGTTAACCTGGTTAACTAGAGCACTTCGTGACTATGAGATCCCACATCGACTGGAGAAGGGAATGAGAACGTAGCATTTTATTCCTTTTAAAGATGTGAAAACTTCTCACGTTTTAAAATGATGGATATATTTAAGTAATATTTAAAAATAATAAATCGAAAAAAGATGGGACTTATTAATGGTGTAAGGTTTTGAATATCAACAAAATGTAGATATAAATATTGATAAAATATGGACGATAATTAACAGGGCCCGAAAGTAATTTAATATATGAAAATATCAATTAATATTTTAAAAGTTAGATGGTTCAATAATTCACGCATAATTATTGAATTAATTAATTAATATTTGAAGTCAACAAAATGCACGGTTGAATAAGAGAGTTGGAAGAAGTTTGCCATAACACACTCTAATATGGGATGTCTTTAAGTCAACTCCACTCCACATTGTCATCTAAATTTACATAATTTTTTTTCTTATTTTTTGCAATTAATAAATTTATAAATAAATAATTAATAAATTTATGGAAACTAAAATCCTCTTATTTCATTTCTTATTTTCGTTAAATTTTTCATTTTTTTTTTCTCGAGATGATCGGAGTTAAAATTTTCCATAATTCTTTTTTAATTTTATGTAAATATTTTTAAATAGATAATTTTCATTTTCCTAAAATAATACCTATTAAAATTGATTTTCATTTTTTAGTACAAGAATTTCTACCTGAAAAAATATTAAATACTAATATAATTATTTCATTAATTTCATGATATGAATTTCGATAATATTGATCTAGAAAAGTCATTTTTGGGTGCTCAAATATTTTTCAAATGAGAACCCATTATGTAATTGGAGAAAATATGGTTCATAGAGATGCATTTGTTGATTATTTATTCCCACTTTTGACTTTTCCAAAAATTATTTATTTCCCACTTTCATTGCTTAGGATAGATGACTTTTCTTTTATAAAATAAATTAAATTGTTTATTAAAATAGAAATTTCATTTATTAAAAAAAAAATTACTTTACGGAAATTAGCTGTGTTCATGGGTTGAGTTTGGTTGGGTTAAGACATTTTTTTAGACTTAATCTAATTGTTCGGGTCGTTAATTTTCAACCTAAATAACGTTTATTAATTATAATGAACTCAACCCACCAAAAATTGACCAAACGCGTTGACTAATTCAATTATTGAGACTACATAATTGACCAAAAATGTCTTCTCGTTTGAAAAGTCAAAGTTCACTCTCCCTTATAAATCTCCTCTTCTCTTCTCCTTTCCCTCCCATCAATCTCTAAACAACTATCACAGTCATGCAAAGGGCACTGCTATTAACGGTGACTTTGGTCGGAATCATCGCCGGAGCAGCGGCTCAGAACTGCGGCTGCGCGGCAGGGCTGTGCTGCAGCAGGTTTGGATTCTGCGGCACCGGCAATGATTTCTGCGGGACAGGATGCAGAGAAGGCCCCTGCAACATCCCGCCTCTTACCCCTAGTGTGAACGACGTCGTTGTGGCTGATTTCGTGACGGAGGAGTTCTTCAACGGCATTCTTAACCAGGCGGATGCTGGTTGCGCCGGCCGGGGATTCTACAGCAGAGCAACTTTCCTCGAAGCCCTCCAATCGTTTGACCGATTTGGAAGAATCGGGTCCGTCGACGATTCGAAGAGAGAAATCGCCGCCTTCTTTGGCCATGTTACGCACGAGACTGGACGTAAGTATTCTCTATTAAAGATTATTGAAAGAAATAGTCTCATATTGGCTAATTATCACGAGGATGGTTGGGAGGGTGTTCAATGTTGACTAATTAAGTAGATGGTCATAATTTTATAAGCAAGAAATACGTCTTCATAATGCTTATTAGAGAAACCAAAAGCAAAGTCACTAGAGTATACGCTCAAAGTGGACATATATTATGTTTTCCTAAAAGACCTCATGGCTTTGAGTGTAAGCTCTCATAGCTTTGCTTTCGATTTTCCCAAAAAGTCTCATGAACACGTATTCTTGACTTATAAACCATGATCATTTCTTAAATTAGTCTATGTGGGACTCCCTCCCAACAATCCTCAAGATATCATTCTATTGTGATGAGTAGTGGTTCCTAACATTCTCTCTCCCCGTCCCCTCCCAGCTACATCTCTGAAACTAAGACGAACCCATGAATTTTTGTGGAGAGTCATGGTGAACCCATGAATTTTTGTGGAAAGTCGTGGTGAACCTATAAATTTTTGTGGGGAGCTGTGGACAGTATCATATCATTGTAGAGAGTCGTGGTTCTTAATATCTCTAAAACTAAGACGAACCCATGAATTTTTGTTGAGGGTCTGATGAACCCATAAATTTTTGTGGGGAGCCGTGGATAGTAACATATCATTGTAGAGAATCGTGGTTCCTAACATCTCTAAAACTAAGATGAACCCATAAATTTTTGTGGAGAGTCATGGTGAACCCATGAATTTTTGTGGGAAGTGGTGAACCTATAAATTTTTGTGGGGAGCCGTGGACAGTATCATATCATTGTAGAGAGCCGTGGTTCTTAATATCTCTAAAACTAAGACGAACCCATGAATTTTTGTTAAGGGTCGGGTGAACCCATAAATTTTTGTGGGGAGCCGTGGATAGTAACATATCATTGTAGAGAATCGTGGTTCCTAACATCTCTAAAACTAAGATGAACCCATAAATTTTTGTGGAGAGTCGTGGTGAACCCATGAATTTTTGTGGGGAGTCGTGGACAATATCATATTAACGTATAAATATAATGTTTGTGTGGGTTTGTATGCAGATTTGTGCTTCATTGAAGAAATAGATGGGGCAACAAAGGATTACTGCGACGAAGAGAACACCCAATATCCGTGCAACCCAAGCAAGGGGTATTTCGGGAGAGGCCCAATCCAGCTATCGTGGAACTTCAACTACGGGCCCGCAGGGGAGAGCATCGGGTTCGATGGGCTCAACAACCCAGAAATAGTGGCAACCAACCCGGTGGTGTCCTTCAAGACGGCTCTGTGGTACTGGATGAACTTCGTGAGGCCGGTCATAAACCAGGGCTTCGGCGCCACCATTCGGGCCATCAATGGCGCCCTGGAATGCGACGGCGGTAACTCTGCCACCGTTCAACGACGGGTCGAGTACTACACTCAGTACTGTAACCAACTCGGAGTTGCCCCTGGAGATAATTTGACTTGTTAGAACATTAATTAAGTTTCTTATTGTGTTAGAACATTAATAAATTTGTATGATCCATACAATCCATACCATATAATTCATATCTCAAACTTTATTAATTTTTGCATCAAATTTAATTTTATTCTTTTAATGGATAAATATGTAGAAATTATGGAAGAATTAAAACTTTTAACCTTATGCTTTATCATTATTTTCATTAAAATCGCTTAAAATTTTATTTTTCTTTCAAATTATGACGAAAAATTATTATATTATTCTTTTTAAATAACAGGAGATAAATAGGGAACAAAAAAATTAATAATTAACAATTTTATATTTCTCTAATATTACATTAATCTTAGAAAATCTCTCTCTAATAGATGTGTTTTAAAGCAGTGATATTAATAGACCAAAGTAGATAATATCCTTAGCGGTGGGTTTGGGTCATAAGTGTCGGTGATACTAATAGGCCAAATGGATAATATCTGTTTTAGCCATAGGCTTAGATCGTAGGTGTGCTGGTGATACAAATAGGCCAAAGAGGATAAAATCGATATTTTTTTTTAGGCCAAAAGTTATGGAAAGAGGAAAAGTAAAAGGGAATTGAAGATCCAAAAATCATATGATCCAAAACCAAAACCCAAAAGGAAGTTCATCGCCGGTGAAGAAAATAACAAAATTAGATGAAACAGAGTTGAAGTATATGATTAAATTCAAAGAGACAGTATTGAGAAGATATTTTGGAGATATATTAGTTAGAATATATATGAGATATTTAGGGAGTTGTTAGTATAAATTTGATTAATCGTATATTTTATTTATTTACAAGATTTAGTTAGATATATTATTTTTTTCTATTTTTAGGTATTAGTTAATAGTTTGTATCTATTTAAACGTGGTAAACCTGAATGAAGATCATACACTTTTCCAGTTCTATTTTCTATTTCTATTTCTTAACATGGTATCAGAGCATCGATCGTAAATATCAATATTTCCTTTATGGCGGGCTCAGCCAAATCCAGCTTTAAAATT